CCCAAAAAAATTCCCTAAAAAGTTTTGTTTTTTAACCCCATTTTTGTGATTTTTTCGATTTTTACCATAATAATCATGATTCATTCGATTTGTAACCAGTCATGTATTGTAAAAAAATTAATTACAAACATTTTTTTCCTCTTCCATTTTCGCCTAAAATCAACTCTTAAAAAGATACATAATTAAATAGGAAGAAAAATATGACATTTTTCCAATTTTTTTAACATATTGTGCCGTCAAAAGTTAAGCCCACGTTTTTTTTTATGCGCATAGAAAAATTTTCATTTCTAGTGATATTTGAAAGCCAAAAAGCCAAATATCTCCGTGGATATACGATTCACCCAAACCAAAACAGATACCGCCTGGTCTATTAGCTAGTGGGTTTCACCAAATTGAAGTACATCCTAGTTCAGTAGAAAAAACCGCCTTCAGCGTTGAACAAGGACATTATGAATTTTTAAGGATGCCCTTCGGTTTAAAAAATGATCCAAGTACCTTTCAAAGAGTCATGGATAATGTTTTGAAAGATTTGCAGAACAAAATTTGTTTAGTTTATATGGATGACATAATTATTTTTTCAACATCATTACAGGAACATATTCTAAATTTACATAAAGTATTTGAAGCTTTTAGGAAACATAACCTCAAAATTCAATTAGATAAATCTGAATTTTTGTCAAAATCTGTAGAATTTCTCGGGCATGTTATTACTCCAAACGGTGTAAAATCGAATCCAAAGAAAATTGAAGCTATTAAAAATTTTCCAATTCCTCAAACACATCGCGATATTAAAAGCTTTTTAGGACTTTTAGGATACTACAGACGCTTTATCAAAAACTTCTCCAAAATCACTAAACCTTTCACTAAATGTCTTAAAAAAGGAGAAAAAGTAATTCACACTTCAGAATTTATTAGCACTTTTGAATATTGTAAAACTCTCTTATGTAATGACTCAATTTTAGCGTTCCCCGACTTTGAAAAACAATTTACAATCACAACTGACGCCTCAAATTTTGCGATAGGTGCAGTACTTCGTCAAAATGACCATCCCATTAGTTATGCTTCTCCAACATTAAATCCGGCTGAAATAAATTACAGTACCACAGAAAAAGAATTGCTCGCGATCGTATGGGCAAGCAAATACTTTAGACCTTATATTTTTGGTAGGAAATTCATCATTCAAACTGACCACAAACCCTTAAATGCTATTTAACTTAAAAGAACCAACAGTAGACTAGTAAGATGACGACTCAAACTTGAAGAATATGACTGCGAAATTAAATATAAAAAAGGCAAACAAAACACTAACGCTGACTGTCTCTCTAGAATAAATATTGATTCAAACCCAATTGACATAAATCCAATTGACACAGATACGAAGAAATAGGCGAAAGACTTTTAGATACACCCACAATGGAACAAATATTCCAAGAAATTGACATAGCTCAAACACCACCACAAAATCACGCAGAAACACAACATACCGCTGACGAAAACCCCATACAAGTATTACCCTATACAGAAAATTGTCTTAATCAATATAATCACCAAATTATTATTCAAGAATCTAACAATACTATTATCAATAGTAGGGTATATTTACCGTTTTAATGTCTCCCCCCTCCACTTTCTGGCTTGGGATGACCTTGAGGCCGAAGGCCGATGACGTTGGTGTATAGATGACCTTGAGGCTGAAAGCCGAAGGTGACGTAGGTTGGTGACTTTTATTTGACTTTGCATTGCAGTTAACCTTGAAAGAGGCCGAAGGCCGATGACGTTGGTGTATGGATGACCTTGAGGCTGAAAGCCGAAGGTGACGTAGGTTGGTGACATTCATTTGACATTGCATTGCAGTTAACCTTGAAAGNAATATAATCACCAAATTATTATTCAAGAATCCAATAATACTATTATCGATTCTTCAACATCCGAAAATCCTTTTAAAACCAAATTTCGTCATCTAGTTACATTTAAAACTATAGCATCCGATGATGATGTTACAAAATTATTAAAATCATTAATTTCTCCAAAATTCACTTATTGTTTATATTTCAAAACACCTGAAGTTGAAAGAAAAATTATTCGTATACTTCAACAAAATTTCACCAATTTAAAATTATGTATATCTCGAAAATTTCTCCAAGACATAGAAGACAATGAAGAACAAAATGAAAAACTCAAATATTATCATGAAGGTAAAACTAGTCATAGAGGTATTACATAAGTCAAAACCTCCCTTCTTAAAAGATATTACTGGCCAAATTTAATTAATGATGCCACAAATTATGTAAATTCTTGTAGAATATGTCAAAAAGCAAAATATGAAAGACATCCCCAACGTATTAAATTTCAAATAACTCCCACTCCTAAAAAACCTTTTGAGATAATTCATATGGACTTATTTTTCGCAGAATCCAAAATATTTTTAACAGTTTTAGATCCTTTTTCAAAATTAGGTCAAGCCTACCACATTAAGACAAAAAATTCTATTGACACTTACGAAGCCCTTTTAACGTTCATTTCACATTATGGTATTCCAAATAAAATAATTACTGATAATGGTAAAAAATTTGACAACAATCTTTTCAAAGAATGTTGTAATTTACACCAAATTGATTTTCACATTACTACACCGAAAAACTCTAACTCTAACGCTCCAGTCGAACGTTTCCATTCGACACTACTAGACTTAATTCGTTGCACTAAATTAGAATATCCAAATAAGGATTTAACACAAATCATGACATTAGCAATAATGGGTTATAATAATGCTATTCATTCAGTAACAAAATTAACACCATTTGAAATTGTCTTCGTTAATAATAGAAAAATTCCTTTTGATATAAATGAAACCGAAATCTTGAATGATTACATTAGTGAACAAAAAGATATATCTCAAAAACTGTACAATGATTTAAATCAACAAATTTCCCAAAATAAAGAAAAAGTTATTACAAAATTAAACGAAAAACGTGACAAACCTGTAGAAAACAAACCTGATGACACTGTTTATTTAAAGACTAAAGACAAATTCACATCAAAAACTAAACCAATATTTAAAGAAACACAAATTATATCTGACAAAGACCATTTGGTAACAACAAAAGCAGGCACATATCATAAAAATTTAATAAAGAAACCTAGAAAGATACTAAAAGAATCTTCTCCACCGCAGGTTACTGACGATGACGACTTTGAAGACTACCTTACTACTTACCGCATTCAGCTTGCCCCTGAAGAGAGCCAGGCGAGTAACCCTAGGTTCCAGACAATAACAAACCCTATTCTACCCATTCAACTAGGACCCGTAAAACAAATTGAATCAAGTCATAAATTCATTTACCAAATAGACATTTCTTTGATTTCAGACCATTTAGATAAACTATACCAATCTTTTGAAAAACTTAAGTCAACAACCAATGATGAATCATTCCCTCATGTTAATTACACCTTAAACAAAATCGCATTAAAATTAGACCCTTTAATTCTGAATAAAAATCCTAAAAGAGGATTAATAGATGGCATAGGTAAAATTTCAAAATATCTCTTCGGTACATTGACGGAAGATGATAAATCAGAAATAATGAAACAACTAACAATTTTAAATAAAAATCAACACAATATCGAGACACAAATGGACTTGCAATTATCTATTCTTCAACCGCTTTTGAAAACTTTTAATGAAACAATTTCAACCCTATCTACTAATCAAAACAAAATTGCCACAGAAATTAAAATGATAAAACAAAATTTTGGAATTGAAAATATCAGATTCATTAGTCAACAGATTATTAATAATTGTAACTCTCTTTTAACTCTTGTTGATGAAATATACATCGCAATATCCTTTTCCGCGCTAAGAACAGTTTATAATCCAACTATTACCTTTAATGAAGTTAGATTTATGAAAAATACACTTTTTCAACTTTATGATAAATCAAAATTATTAAACTTAGAAAGTGACTTATCGTATTTTAAATTGATGCATCAAGATGTTTTCTTTAAATATCCAAATTTCAATTTTGTTATTACTTTACCGTTGTTCTCAAACGAAAATACATACCTGTACAAACTGTATCCAATCCCACAAAATAACCTTACCTTAATTCCTCCCAAACCTATAATAATGCTTGGCGAAGGAAACCAAAAGTACCTAGATAAAGAATGCCCTCTGGTAGAACGTTTCTACATTTGCAATGAAAAACCAGAACCAGTCCAAGAAGATTGTATTTCCATGCTTGTCCAGGGTCGACAACCTTCAAATTGTCAATTCAATGAAGTTAAAATTATCCAACCCATAACGACTCAAGTTGCCGCAAATCAAATTTTACTAATTCCACATCCACCAATGGCTACTGACATAAGATTCCAATGTAATACTAATGGAGCTGAGAGAAGAAGTTCCCCAACTTTAATCACCATTGATAACACGTGCAAAATCTGGATCGATGATGTCCCATTTTTAACATCCACCGATCCAACCACTTACGTAGGAGCAGGAATCCTACCACCACCCTTGCCCAGTCTAATGGACATTTCAAATAAGGCATCTCACGGGCTGCAGTTGAAGCCCATCCATTTTGAGGATATAAACAGGATTATTCAGTCCAGTCATCATTTGTCTTCAATTAACCATATTGAACCACTCCCCGACAACCAATCAAACTTATTATGGATCGTCTTCATTACGTCCATTATTTTTGTATGTCTATTTTCTATTTATATCTATTGTCGGAAGAGAATCCACACTTATATTCGGAAGATCCGCCAAAGAGGAGGAAATTCCCAAGACCCAGTCGAAGACGTCCCAATGGCACCGTTAGGTCCCCGTGGTCCGTTCTAAAGGGGGAGGAGTGATGTACCCCGTATAATATATTTTTTGTTGATAATGTAATGCTTAGTTCATAATAATAAATGTTATGAAACTTCCGTATCGCATAGAGATAAAATAATATTAGAGTCAGCTTTTTAAATGAATATATAAACTCTTTGTAAATCTAAACGATTCAATTGTAATATTGTCACGAAGTGAATAAAGCTTGTTCTTACAAACAACATACTTTGAGTTAATTAATTGATAATTAATTTCACAAGTAAAACTCGATCTATGTACCCATTCTTACTCCTGAACCTTACACTAGTTATAACCTATGCCCTATTAACCTATTAACAACCAAATCATCATACTTTCCAAACCTATGCTTATACTTGGTAAAAAGAAACATCTTGAAAGACAAGATACCTATCCTCAAGTAGAAGAATAATATGCAGAGGCGACACCAAGGAGAATGTGAACAAATGCATTCCAAATTTACTAATGGGAAACCAACTCGAAACCTGTCAGTCTTCCCCGCTACTCCTTTCACAACCTATAGTCAGTCAAGAACATGTGCTCCTTTTGACAACACACCCACAATTATTAGTTTGCTTTTAAGTAACATTTTCCTTCTGAAAGAATAATTATATTTTAATTTTAGAGGTTAATAGTAAATTAGTGCATTCTGTAATATCTCAATCAAAATATGTAATTATAACTAAGATTGTTGCATATACAGAGATGGCCAGAAGTACGAAATAATATTCATATCTTTTGAATGAGTTAATTTTTTTTAAAACGCCGAGACACGTTAACTGATCTTGATTTTTTCCCATCTTTCCCATAGAATAATAAATTTTGTCTCCAGCTACCCCTACTTTTTTTTTCAAATGGAAACATAAGGCATGAGGGGTCTCGTTGAAAATCGAATCCAGCCATAGTAGTATAGCAACCCCCGCTCTGGGCCACCTCGATGGCATGTCCCTCAAGAATAGACCAAAGATAAGGGGGTTCTCTCAAGGTTGTTGAAGACTTCTTGTAATTAATCTGAAGAAGTGATCGACAATGACCAGAGGGTTTAGTTCGTGAAATGGCCGCATGTTAGATATAGATGTCGCTGTGCAAGATATCTAGATTAANCACCGTTAGGTCCCCATGGTCCGTTCTAAAGGGGGAGGAGTGATGTACCCCGTATAATATATTTTTTGCTGATAACGTAATGCTTAGTTCATAATAATAATTGTTATGAAGCTTCCATATCATATAGAGATAAAATAATATTAGAGTCAGCTTTTTGAAGGAATATATAAACGCTTTGTAAATTTATTCAATTCAATTATAATATTGTCACGAAGTGAATAAAGCTTGTTCTTACAAACAACATACTTTGAATTTATTATTTGATAATTAAGTTCACAAGTAAAACTCTCGTAAATCATTCACTTTTCGATAAAAATTACCGAAATGTTTTTTCATCCGGAATTTTTCAGACCATTATAAAATGTATTCATATTACCAATTAATTTAGTGGCGTAGAATTTTTACTTTAAATAAGAAAACGACATCCTTGTTTCTCCGCCACTGGTCTTTGAATTTGGACTATGTGCATACAGAACTAGAGGAAATATTTGAAAAAACATGTGTACCCAATTTGGATAAATTGGATAAAGCCGTTTTCCAGATTTTTAAAAAAATTGTTTTATTTTTGTTAACTTCAACGCCCTGTATCTCATAAACGGTGGCTTTCTGCGCCTATGTTCATAGAGCAAAGTGGTGTTAATTTTTGTTGTTTAGTAATTTCCCGAAGTTTGTCTATTAAAATCTGGACCACCCTGTATAGTGTAACAGTGATGTTGACAAGCTTTCAGGAATAGCTTATTTCATAAACAACACATTTTGCATGTTTTCAAGTGATAAAAGAAACGTTTCAGAAAAATAAACTTTCTATTAGACGCATAGGACCCTTTTAAATATACAGGGTGTTTGTAAATAAGTGCGAAATATTTTAGGGGATGGTTGCCGAAGTTATTTTGTGAAAAAAAGTTCATATAAAAGTAGATTCCGAGATACAGTGTTTAAATTTTTATTTATTTTTATTAATTATTTTAGTTTTAAAGATTTTGACTCGAAATTTGATGGTTGTATTTTATGCATTAACTTTAAACGAACTCTTTGCTAATTTAATTGCTGCTAGTGATTTAAATAGGTATATTATTTTTTTATAATTGCGAAGGACCCTTTTACGTATTTGCTTACTGACTTACTTAAACTTCTAGACATTCAAAGTAAGTGAATATACTTTTTGCTTAAATGGAACCGTGAACAGGCAAAATACTAGGTTTTAGAGCACAGAAAATCCGCATTGGATGCCAGAAAAACATACACAGGGTCCGGAAAAGTTAATAGTTGGACTGGAATAGTAGGATATCACACATTGGGGCCTTATTTCTTTGAGGGCAATTTGACAGGCGACATTTATTTGGACTTTTTGCTGATTCCAGCCCTTGAATTGATTTTTCCTAACACCTTAAAATTTCTACATACTGAAATATTTAACCAACATTTCAACGACGCCAAGATATAAATAAAAATATTACTGATTTTTTTTTAGATTTCGCATGAATTCTAACAATTACATGTATACGATATTTTACTAACTTAGTGAGAATTATCGGGTATATATTCACTGTGTTTTATATCGCTGCTAGGTCAGTGATAAAGATCTGTAAAAGTAGACACGCGATATATTATTTAATGAATATTGTGAAGCGAACAGAAACACAATAAAAATACTACCTCAGGAAGACTAATTGCAGACTGCATTATATTTGTTACTTTTCTACGGCTTCTGCGAGGGATTATCAAGTTAAAGGAAAACAAAATAAATGAATGTGAATAAAAATGCTCGAGGAAAGCGATTCCTCATTATAGAAAGAATACATTTACGTTTATATTTTTACATTTTTTAGTTATCGCGTAATGAAATTAGGTATTATATTTCCTGTTGACATAGTCTGAAAAAGAATTAACATAAATTATTAAGATAGTATAACAGAATGGCAATCTTAACTGGCTTTGTAAAAACCACTAAATTAAAAAAAAATATTTTTTTTGTAAAACTAGCAGTGCTATTATTTAAAATTATTTTCGACTTTTTTGACTGTACTATAAGTTTATTTTAAACTAATGAAAATAGTACCAATGATCAATTTTTTAAATTAAACGGCAACAAATAAACAAAGGCGCAGTACTTCCGAAAGAGCTGTGAGGCAATACTCAGAAAAACAGTTAATGTGTCTTTATAAACATTAGTGTCGTATCAATACTGTGTCAATTCAGTATCAGTGTTAACCGTCGATCAGTAATAAAAATTTACACATATCCGTCCGCAGTCCGTACTACACTTTCAATTAAATATCGGCTATACTATGATGTATCGGCAATTATTGCCATAACCTTACATGAAGAAGAGGAAGAAAACCATATAAAATGGCGAAAATGGGTACAAAGATATAAATCAAACGTGAAAGTGAAAAATAATGTCTTTATTTGAGGCATTAA